AGTGAGAGTGTGAAAGCATGGAAAAGGAAAGAGAATGAAAGACGTTGAAAAACAAGTTCCGGCTTGCTAACTTGGACCTTTGGACTTTGCTCTAATATCCCACATTTTTTATTTTTGTTTCCTATTAACAAGAAACAAAAGAATTTAAATGATTTTCATAAATATCATAATTTTCAATCATTTTAGAAAAATTTCAAAAAAATGTCATTGTCATTTTACAAAAATACCATATTTTAAAAATTTTTACAAAAATACCATTTTTTCAAAATTATTTTTTTTATATTATTTATGTTTGGGTTAATTATGTTCTATTAGAGTTTAGTTTTGAGTGTTTAGAAGGTTTTAAGTGTCAAAACATTTTTTTGGATTTAGAATTTTAAAATATAGATTTTATAAATCTATAATTAGTGGCATTTTTGTTAATGGATACCCCTAAGTGCACACAAAAAGTGGTATTTTTGTAATTGCTCCATCATTTTAACAGCTAGTTTTAAAATTTTAATAAAACAAAAATTTAATATCGAAATGATTCAAAGTCTTTTTTTTAAAGACGAAATCTAAATCCTAATTTTTTTTTTAAAAGAACGAAACTTAATCTTTTGATTTTGTTTATAATTTATTTGAAATAAACAATTATTTCCACATCATAATTTCTTCTATTATTAGAAATCTAAACCAGTTGAAACCCATATTTAAAAGTGTTTTTGAAATATTGAAAGTGAGATTTAAAAATGTTTTTAAAATATTACTTTTATTTTTATTTATTTATCGACAAAGTAAACTAAAATCAACGTTGAATAGTTTAAGCAAAAGAATCGAATGGAAGACAAAAACTTGAGAATATTGATGAAAAATGTATACAGCTCCCTCCGTTTTAAAATATAATTTTTTTTTGTTAAAAATACAAAAATTAAGAAATTATTTTTTTCTAAAACGTATCATTTTATATATATAATAAAAAATAATTTAACCAATGAAAAATCGACTGTAAAATACTATTGATCACACAATAATCATTAAAGTTAAAAAGTATATAGAATTATCAAAACAACTTATATTTAGAAACATAAAAAAACTTTCAAAACAACTTATATTTAAAAGGGAAGAAATAGAATAGAATGTCTTGGAGAGAAATTCATGCACTTTTTTTGTCATCAGACTCATAACGAAAATGCACTTACTCTTTTGTTGCTTTCCATTAAACTCAAACGTCTATTTCATTCATCCAAAACTAGCATTACATCAAATGTTTATCGATCTCTATAATGGCCGGTAACTAAAAAAAAGAAGAATATTAATACTATTAACCACATATTAATCTAGTAAGAGTCAAACGCAAGGATGTAATGGGCAATTGTAATGTGATATATGGTTTAGGGATAAAACAAATTATTAATACATGGTTTAGCTAGAACCAAAAAGAAATTTCTAATCAACTATAATGTAATTGTACTTTGGAGTTTTGATTACTTTTACACCAATGTATTTGAGTTTTAAAAATTAGTTTGTAAGTAAACAAACCCATACTTCTACTTTATTTTGTAGAGTGATTAGTACGGCTCCATAATTATCCCACATTCTCTGTATAACGATAAAGGGAACACCTTTATGAACTATGATGTCCCCTCTTTGTAATATTCCAGCCGTTATCATACATAAATATTAAATACATCATTTATATATAATATAGAACAGTAATCATTTCATAGAAAAGTACGAATCACAATGTCTATAGACTATAGTTGCCTAGCTAGCCCGAACGCATATCGCAACCCCGTAATAGTTTTTTTTTTGTTTGAACCTTGCCCCCGTAATAGTTTTGAAGGTTAGTTTTAAATTAGTTTATTATACTATTTAACATATCTTTATATACATGCATGTATATGTATATGCGTGAATCTATAGATGAATTGTAGTTTGAAACGTAATTCAAGCGAAAAGAAAACGAAGATCTTTCACGCTCTAAATGACATTTTTGAAAGAGATCATCTTTATGTTTTTTTTTGTCACAAAGAGATCATCGTTATAAAGAAACAAAAGTTGCATAGCTATGGTGATGAATTATATAAAATAATGAATGATATTTCAAAGTTACTAATTAAAATTATCCTAACCAATCAATAACGTGAAGGACACCCAAAAAGTCATTACAATTCCTGAATTCCAATAGGATAGAAAAAGTGTTGCCAAAAGAGACATCATACATTGAACAGACATACCTGGACCTGTGTAATATGCTTTCGGTTATTAGCATATCAATCATCCATACCACCAACACTGTATAAGTATATAATACTTATAAAATGTGAAAATCAGTATTCTCATTCGATCGTTCTATATTAGATTACACAAAAGAATACTGTAAGAACGTAAAATGTTTATAAAATATAATTTGATTACTATATGTTTAATGAGTAAAAGCACTTTATAGTGGGTTCCAGTACAAGAGATGGATGTGTGGAGCAGCAACATATGAGTAAATAAGAGAAAGACAATCGCAGGCTCCTAATTTGGCACGTGTGAAATGAGGAGCGTAAGAGCGGGGGGAGTTAGCCGTTGGCACGTTGCCGTGGAGCGCCTAGAACATGTAGCATGAATACCAAACTTAACATTTCATAAATTTCTAAATATATACATCTACAACATGGTCTCACTTAAAAAGATAAACATGGTTTTCACTTGCCACTTCTTTACAGGCTTCCATTGATGTTGTCGAAACAATTTAGAGATGTTTGTTAAGTTTTACTTTTCATGGATGGAAGTTTGACCTAGATAGTATAATGGAAAGTGGCTATTCCATACTCCAAGTATGGAAATATGTTTGATTCATACCTAAAGTATACCACCATGCTAAAACATATCTCACTTAAAAAAAAATTTAATTTTTCTACTTAAATTTTTAATTTTGTGCACATTCATCCCTTCATCGTAACATAATTAAAATTATGTTAAACTGTGATGACGTGGATGCCACGTGTAAAATAGAATTGGTTATTTCATACCTTAAGTAAAGAGTTATGTTCAATTTATATACTATTATGTGAATACCCAAACTAAATAGAACATAAAATTTACTACCTAAACTTCCGGTATCGTGCAAAATCATACATTTAGTATCACCGTATTAAAAATGGTTAATCTCCGATATCATAGACATCACGTATAAAAAGATATTCTTTTGTTTCAAAAATAATTAAAAAGAAAAGAAACCGAAACGACGTTGTTTTATAGAATTAAATTAATTTCTTCTCTTCTTTTTTCTTTTTCCTCAATGCATTTGGAAGATAATTGAGATAATTATACTAACTCAAAATCAGTTCCATCAACCTACACTTTGGAAAAAAAAATTGTTGAACCAATGATTTTATAACATAAGGTATATCGGATTTAATCAAGATCTATTGGATTTTCTTTATTCCAAACCATAAATTATAAAACATATTTATCAAGAAATATGTTAAGAAATCCTCTCTCAAAAAATTCTATCGAACATTTTGCATGTTGTGTCTCGTCTTTTCCTAGAATGACTTGATCCCAATACTCATTCCACGTTAATTTCTCTTAATTTTTTTTGGTTGCCAATTCTAAATCCTAGAAACACAAATTTAAACCCCTTAAATTTTTTCAGTTCAATTTGTATAACAAAGATTTCATCCGCATATGTCAACAAATATGTATAACAAAAGTTCCACTAAATAAGTTAAACGAAAGGGGAAGTTGCGCTTATTTATTTTTCATTGTATAAAACAAAGTTGTTTATATTTATGTGACGCTAAATATATGATTTTGCACAATATTGAAAGTTTTTATAGTAAATTTGAATTTATATTTAGTTGAGGTATGTATTCGCACAGTAGTATAATTCGGTATAAATTGAACATAACTCGTTACTTTAGGTATGAAATAACCAAAAAAAATTCATATTTGGCATTCACGTCATCACAATTTAACGGAGTTTTAACTCCGTTACGGTCAAGGCATGAATGTGCACAAAATTAAAAGCTTAGGTAGTAAATGTAAATTTTTTTCTTAATTGAAGTATGTTTTAGCACGGTGGTATGTTTTAAGTATAAATTGAACATATCTCCATAGTTGGGGTATGAAATAGCCGAATTTCCATATTATAACTATCGAAACCAATTGTTTCGATGATATAATACGGAATCTATGTTGTGAGAC